TACTGCTTATCCTGATACTCTATTCTTATCATCATGGTATAGCCCGCTAGAACCCGCAAACGTTTGAAGCTTCGTCGTTTGGCAAGTAGTCCTGCGAGTACTGGTGACCAACTTATCAAAGAACAATCAACCCGCAATTTCTTGCGAAAGCTTAAACGAATACTATTCGCCACCTTGTTCTTGTCCGTCGCAGCGGCCGTTCTTTTGGGACATCACCTCACACAAAACAACGCTCAGCAAAATAGTCTTATTCAAGACTTTCTTAGTAGCTATCGGCGACATTATTATCAAATCGTGCATGGTATACCACATTACTGTGATGCAGAACTAAACGCACGATCTGTGTTCGCACGGATCAATGAACATCAAATACTGCACCAAGAAGAAGCATTGCAAAAACTTGATATAATCCTGCGGAATCAAACGCACTTCCGCTCTATAGCCATAGTTGGGCCCTCTGGAGTTGGCAAAACAATGACAGCTAGCGCTTTAGGGGAACATTTTCCATGGCGGGAAAACGTGTGGACGTATGCATGGAATACTCATGTTAAAGATGAGATACAAAAATTCCATATGCTACGTCTTTATGTTGAGCAACTTTCGGATTGTGGCCATAACTTGCTCATTACACTAAGTAACAAAAAAAAAAAATTTCTCAGTCCTTGGGATGTAATTGTTATTTCCTAGTCTGTTATGCCTTAAAAGTATGGAAACCACCTAATATTCCTCGGAAACTTTGCTTTTGTGACCAGGACAATGTGATTCATTAAAATATGCTAAAATTATGAGAAAAACGTGTTTGAGTCTTTCACTACAGAGAAAATCATACAGAACAGCACATATAAATCAAAACTAAATTTTATTAAAACTTCAGAAAACCAAAAACATAAAAGTAAATCAGAAGCGGGTGGTTTTTCGACATTTGCGTTTAAACTGCGAGTCACTTTCTCTAATCAATCCCCAAATGTAATCTCCCATCATGTTCTCATTGTATTGTCCTTGGTATCGCCGCTCAAATTCCATTATATCCTGATGGAAGCGCTCGCCTTGCTCCTCTGATATGCTCCCATGTTCTCCTTGAATTTGTCAAGATGTGCATCCAGAATATGGAGTTTGAGAGACATCCTGCAGCCCATTTTGCCGTAGTTCTCCACCAGACTTTCGACCAGCTCCACGTAGTTTGCGGCTTTGTGATTGCCTAGGAATCCCTGTACCACTGACATAAAACTCATCCAAGCAGCTTTCTCAACACGAGTGAGCTTCTTGGGGAATTCCTCAGACTCGAAGATTTTCTTTATTTGTGGTCCAACGAAGATACCGGCTGTAACTTTCGCCTCAGAGAGCTTAGGGAACAAGTCTTGTAGGTACTTGAACGCTGAAGAATTTTTGTCGAGAGCTTTGACGAATTGCTTTATAAGACCCAGTTTGATGTGGAGTGGTGGCATCAGTACCTTCTGGGGGTCCACCAAGGGCTCCCACTTGACGTTGTTCCTCCCCACTGTGAATTCAGTTCGTTGTGGCCATTCACGCTTACTGTAGTGTGCACTGTCGTTTCTGCTGTCCCACAGGCATAGAAAGCAAGGAAACTTGGTGTAACCGCCTTGCAGGCCCATTAAGAATGTCACTATTTTGAAATCTCCGATCACTTCCCAGCCATATTGCTCATACTTCAATGCGTTCAGCACTTTCTTGACATTGTCGTAGTTCTCTTTGAGAGATACTGAATGCGCCAGAGGAAGAGACGGATACTTGTTGCCATTGTGAAGCAACACGGCTTTGAGACTCTTGCATGAGCTGTCAATGAAGAGGCGCCACTCTTTTGGTTCGAAATCAATTCCGATTTCCTCGAACAGACCGGTCACGTCGTGGCAGAAGCAGAGCCCATCTTCGCTGATGAAGAAGTTGGAAAAAAGTTCGTGACGCTTCCTCTGACATGTGACTTTAACACTAGGATCCAGCAAATTCCACTGCATCAGTCTGGACGTCAAAAGTTCAGCATCGGACTTGGTTAGACCAAGATCTCTGATCAAATCATTCATGTCCTTTTGGTTGGGATAGTATGGGTTTTTGTTATCAGCTAGTAAATTAAATCCTTCACCTTCATTGTCTTCCACACTCATGGAATCAGGGCTCTCACAGGAAGACACCTGCTCTTTCTCTGGAGGAGTAGGAACGGGGCGGTCAGAGCTGTGTGGAACTGGAGCCATGGATGAAGGAATGTCAGGATACATGATTTGACTTGCTTTTTTGCCATGCACCATGCAGAAAAACCAGTTGCTGGAATGGTCAGTGGGTTCTCTCCAAACTCTTGGCACAGCAAACTTCATAGCTCTCTTTTCCCCTCTGTACCATCCTGAAAAAAAAAAAATTAGAAAAGAAAAGTACTGTCTAATAAAAAAGTTAATAGAAACATTTATTTTACCCATAACAAAGCAATATAGTTTTAAAATATCTTACCTTCCAAAGTCCTTTTGCAGTTTTCACACGCGAAATGAGGTGCCCAGGATTTGTCTTGATCACCCACAGGCATGCCGAAATAAGCATTGTAAGCTTCGCACATTTTAAAACCTGTTTCCAAAGAGTACTTATTCGCTCTTGTTTTGATAAAATATCCGCAGACATAACAAAATGCATCTGCAGGATACTTGCAGCCTCGTGAAGCCATGTTTGAACGAATTTATCTGTAATAAAATAAGAAACAACTCTCAATAAATCACAAAAATGTTGCAAAATTTATTGCGACGACTTTGTTGTTTTAACTAGTGTTGGGCAGTATCGAGTACTTTTGTGTATTTACTACTTTGGTATCGATACTTTTAAGCATCGGGTACTGTCGATACTTTTCAGCATCGAGTACTGAGTACTTTTGGAATCGATACTGCCCAACACTAGTTTTAACAGACACAAATGTAGAGAAAACAAGTTGTATGCGCTCGTGTATCAGTTTTCAACAAACAAGCATAAAAATAAACGCAGATAAGCGCTGCCATGGTCACAAAAGCAAAGTTATCTTGCGACAATAGCTGTTTTCTATACTTTTGGGACCTAACTGACTAGGAAATAACAATTACAACCCAGGGACAAAAACCTTGTTACATAGTGTTATTGACAACCTTTCGCCCTGCGCACGGTCAAAAATTTGGGTTTAATTTTTAAACTGCGCTGGGACTACTACCTTTTTTAAACTTTTATAGTCTACTTTTTAAACCAGTCAATAGTTTCACGCAATTTTTAATATATTCTGGTTTAAATTTTAGCCCAAAAAGTTCGTGGTTTAAAAATCAAACCAAAATGTTTTAATTCTAGTTCTAGTTTCTAGGTTTCATATATAGACAATTTGGTTTAAAGTCTAAACCGAAATAGAATATGTTTGCACAGCGAATTGTGGTGTTGATTCAAACTCAACATATGAAAGCACATTTACATGCGTGGCTGTAGCTGAGTGTGCAAAGATGCTTGACACAATTGGTTGCTACCAAGGCTGTCCGGGTTCAATCCCAACCAGACGGAGCATGAAATTTGAGATTGTTTTTTTTTTATTCTTAATTATGAAAATGTTTGGGTTCAACATTTAAACCGAATTGTTTAAATTCTAAACCCAACATATGTGCTCTCTTTTTTTTAAACTTCGAAGGTTTGTATTTGAAACTGAATTTAGTTTGGTCATATATGTAGTCCAAAAAGTTTAAAATTAAAACCGAAATTTTTAACCGTGCGATGACGGAGTAGTGCCGCTATTAAATAAAATGATTGCTATGCAAGATGATGCAAACAGAAAACATGTTATTGTAGTTTATATATTTCAATTAAACGCAATGCTTGACGAAAATGCTTATCAAGACCAAAAAAATGCTTTGCAAAATTTACCAGATACAGCAACGATAAATTTTAAGTCGTTAGATCAAAAAGAATTGCGAGAATGCATACAACGGGAAGCTTTGTTGAATAATTTAACGCTAAATGATGCTGATTTTAACGAAATTGCTAATACAATAGATGTAACCTCCTCTGGCTGTAAAAAGGTACACGCGAAAGTAATGGTCTACGGACGCCGGATAGAACAATTTCATTCCGATGAATTCTAAAATCACAAATACCAAAAATTCTAAAAGACTCTTCGAATAATCGACTGAATCTCTTTTCAAAAGGGTGTAATTTTGTATAGACTGTTATTATGTTTGTATGTTTAACGAAAAATATATGCTAAAGCAAGTTATGGAGAAATTAAATAATAATTGCATTTTATTGTACTAATATTGAATGGGCTACAGAAATGCATACTCCAAATTTTTCTAAGGAATCTAATGAAAAGCTCGAAATGTTTACGAAAGTTAGTTGAATTTTTTTAATATTACACAAAGGTTGAACTTGGACTCATACGCATTTTGTTGAAAAATTCACACATTTTTATAAAAATTAGTCAAATTAAATAAAAAAAGTTTAATTCTTAAAACTTGCCAATGTGGGATGGGCTTATAATTTTGACATAGGGTGCATTGGTATACTACTTTCCAACTTTTTATTTATTATTTTCATAGTTTTCTCGGTTATTTACGCACCGAATCATAGAGTAGGTTTTCATAATTTTACAAGAAATGTATCCTTTAATAAAACGGTCAGTTTTTATTACTTATGAAATGAAATGGTTTTTATTCATTCTCGATTTTAAGCGAAACGACCGATTAGTCGGTTAATTTCCTACGATTAATTGTAATTAATAATCGAATGCTTTCGATTAATCAATTAACCGATTAATCGATTACTAATTTTTTTGACATCACTAGTCTTATTGGTATGGCCGAATTACATTCGAAAGCCAGTTAAAATTAACGTCAAGTGGATTGATGTACAATTCAAAAAACCACTATACGAGTAGTTTTTTACGGCACTAACATTTCATTTCATTTCATTTATTGAACAAGAAAATTAGTACAGTAAGATTTTGAATCTTTTATAGTACAACAGATAGAGTGGAAATCAGGTTGTTAATACATCTACAAACACGTTACTATGATGATATTAAAAATGCAGGCTTACATACATATGTATATACTTAAGGCTACGTCAAATAGTTATAATTTAAAATAAAATAAGATGGTCAGTCTAGATTATAGAGAAAAATAATTATAAATAATTGTTCTATAATTGATTTTCTTTATAGTACTCCTTAGGGCGGTAGGAATCGAGTTCCAGGTACGTATAGTGTTCACAAAAAACAATCTAGTCAAGGCTATTTTGGACGATTTTGTAAATTTCAGCTTCTCATAAAGATATGAAGGCGTTCTAGTTAGCATAAGCCGATAAAGAAAGATACAGCTTCTGGCTTCAATGTAGTCCAGGCTTTGACAGCCCAACAGTTCGTATCTCCACTGTGATTTGTGGTCAAATTTACGCAGGCCAAACAACCTCAACCTTATGGCCAGACTGTGAGTATAGTCTATTGTAGATGAGTGCAGAGTACGTCAAATTATGTAGGTGTCAGTAATTGGATGCCAAGCTTACGTCTGACGTTAACCGGGGTAAACGGGGACGAATGTCTTAAACTGCGTAGCGCGCAATACACCTTACCTATTACCATATTTATATGATCAACACATGTTAAATTCAAGTTGATTACAAAGCCTAGGTTAGTAATTT